GGCAGGATAAATTAGATCATTGGTGTCCCATTAGCTCAACCAACAAGTGCATGTCTCCTTGATATACACAGTAGATCAGGATTACTCGGGACAGCCTTGTTTTATGTGGCAGTGCTAAGCCTCATAAACGTAGTTTACACTGGATTCACCATGGACTGAGACTATCTCGTCAGGGTGTCTCTCTTTTTGGCCACAGAACCCCAACCTTGTATATACAACTTGCTGCAGATATTCTATCCCTTCAAGTGCAACAGCTTGCCAGCCCCACTGGTCCATGATAACCACGTCACCATTACAGTGCAGCCGTAACGGCCATTTGAATGATGAGGCTAGCAACTGTTTTGATTTCCCATCACTGCAGAATCTGTTGGGGACAGCTTGATAGTCAATTGAAATATTTTTATCTTGAAGAAAATATTTTTTTCCTGTTTATTACATTGCATACATATGTATTTTAGAATCTGTGTGTGCATATCTATCTCACAAGACTAAGGAAGGCAGTGCTTTTTCCCTGTCAGCACCATTTGCAGTGGCAAGCCTAATAAGTACATATGTGTATTGTATTCACTTATGACAGGACTGGAAAAAAAAAAAATTGCTATTGTCACAGTGTCTCTCTTGTTTATCCACAGAACCCCAGCCTCCTTTATCCTGGGGGGGGTTATTAACTGTAATAGTTCACTTTAGTGAATGACATTGTTACTATGGTTCTTATTCCACTTCTCTTCTATCTCTCCACAGTGTCTTTCAGCAGTACTTTCAGCTTTTAGATGCTGCCAAACCTATCAAGGGACAAGTCTCCCACTTTCGCTGCCTTTTTACAATGCCCATCAGCCATCGATCCTGTGTTTCAGAACTTCATTCGTGAGGTTACCCATGTTGCCTCCCTTTCTGTCCTCTACCCTCTGGGATCTCAGTTTTCTTTGTTCAGGTTTACAAACAGTAAAAAGTACAGTATTACAGAACTGCCTTTCCTGTATGTCAAAAAAGTAGCCCATCTTGCTACTGTAGGTAATAGAGTATCGGTCTTGTCGGGTCTACTTTTCTTATTCTATGTAAGACTAGGCAAAGAGGTTTAGAAACTAAAGGTTTTCTTTTTTACTGAAAGTCATCTTCCCCTTTGACTTCTTTAATAAAGACATTATCCTTCCCTCACTTTGTCTCATCACAACACATCCAATAGAATTTGCTTTACATACACTGAAAGTGGTTCGATCTATTAGAGTTTACCTACATGCTCCTTCGCCCTTTTAGCTAGCTTTGGCTGTAAGGTCTTGAAAGCAGTAGTACAACTCCTACTGTTGTGTTAGGGCTTACCCTGTTTCATGGTTGGTGTGTGCACCAATCTGCACGTGATACTAGTGTTGTGGTGTGAACAGAGCACATAGAGAACAACTGATTTTGTTGTGCCCTTGCAGAACTCGTGCAGAAAAACTGATGGTTCTGCACCATGGTGTGAACAGGCCCTAAATGAGCCATCAATTTACAGGTTCAAAAAAAGTTACATTCCCATCACGGGCCGGAATGTAACTGTCACATTTGCTTGTGCTCTGAGTCTAAACCAAACTGTAAAACCATCAAATGTCTGGTGTCATAAGTGATGACGTGCAACATCATGACAGTTTAAGATCAAACAGAGGCTAAGATGGCAGTTTATGTGGCTAAAAACGATAGTAGGGTTTGGTTCTTCTTCAAATATCTTTTTCTTTGAGAAACACAGCTCCCACCCCTCTGTTGTTTTTAGCTTTTTGCCAATGTTATCTGGTTTTCTAAATATATACTTTTCGCTACCAACTGACACTCTCTCTGAAGGGTGCGGGGTTACACCACCTAAAGGAGCTGTCCTAGCTGCCTGTTTATTTTTGTGCACCTAGCATCCTATTCCTGTAGACACCACTATAACCCACTTATATGTGGATGATCTTCATTCAATAGCTGTGTCCCTCAATGTACTAAGTGAAAAGAATATTATAGAATTGACAAACATTCTATTTTTTCCACTTGTTCATCACACAAAGGCTTTCCAAATTTCAAATATAATGCTGAATTTCTATGAAAAACAAAAGATTGTGACTATAAGGCACATACTTATAAGTTTCATTGCACAGAAGCCTTTGACATGGGTGCTCAGTAGTGTGTGTTCATTCCACAGAACAAATGGGAGATTGCACACTGTCTTTACTGGCTAAGGATGAAGGAGCACAGGGCTGAGATTCAGCTTCGTCTACCTTTTCCTCCTCTACATTCTGATTTGTCCCAACAGAGATCTCTCTATTTTCCCCTGCTGTAGTCTGGTCCTCAAGACTGCTCTTTATCATTGCTTGCTCTGATTCTGACTGATCCACATGCACAGCATCAAGATTATCTGGATTCCGATGGTCCTGATTGGATCTTTCCATGGTTGGATCTTTATTGGTTGACTTTTCATCATTCTCATCTGTATCATTATCTCTGGAAGTTAAAACCTTTTCCAAACTTTTTATGACCTCCAGCTCATCTTCAGACTCTTCAAAAGTCCTGTTAAAAATAACAAACGTACAATGATTTAAACAGGTTTGAAAGAGAAACCATATAGTAGAGAATAAGTGTGGTGTTACTTAAGTCAAGTGAGAAGTAGCCATGACAAAAATGCAGCGGCTTCCATTGTGGACTTTAAGAATCTGCCAATTCTCAGAATGTCTTGGTAATGCCCCTGAACAAGTACAAAGCCAGGAGTTCCAACTTCAACAGCTCCATACTGACTGTATTGTGAACAACAGGGAGAATCATGACTCTCAAGGCAGTTAGAAACTTAGAAGTCAAGAGTGGCAGTGCCCATACTTCTTTCATTACTAATGGTGAACAGAATCTTTAGAGTGAATCTTAAAAGAGATGTGTGGTGAAAAAAAATAAACATACTGTACATACTCACCCTGATGGCTGCAGCATCAATTCGATGCTGCAGCTGTCCCCTGCTGGCACTACACCGAGAACTGAGTGATCAAAGACCATTGATCCAGCCCCAAGTCCAATCTTTAACAAACTCGTGCAGACTCCACCTCCGCAACATCGCCAAAATCCGCACGTTCCTAACTCCAGAAACCACTAAACAGCTCATCCACTCCCTCATCATATCAAGACTCGACTACTGCAACTCCCTCCTCACTGGCCTGCCTCGCCGCTGGCTATCCCCGCTTCAGTCAATCCTGAATACGGCTGCCAGACTCATTCACCTTTCCAACCGCTCCATCTCCGCCACCCCCCTCTGCCAATCCCTCCACTGGCTTCCGATTGCGCAACGGATCAAATTCAAAATCCTAACACTGACGTACAAAGCTGTCCACCATACTGCCCCGAACTACATCACTGACCTAATATCCAAGTACCGCCCAGCACGCACACTCCGCTCCTCACAAGACCTCCTTCTCTAGTTCCCTGGTCTCCTCCTCCCATGCCCGCCTCCAGGACTTTTCCAGGGTGTCACCCATCCTCTGGAACTCCCTATCCCAATCCATCAGACTATCATCTACTCTCCTCACCTTTAGGCGCACCCTGAAAACCCATCTCTTCAGGGAAGCCTACCCCACCCCCTGCTAACTTGCCGACCTCCTCCACTCTTCCTACCACCCCCATCCCCCACAGCTATCTCCTCCTGTACCACCATCCCCTCCCTCCTAGATCGTAAGCTCGAAAGAGCAGGGCCTCAGTCCCCTCATGTTTTGCATTGTATTGGCATTGTTCTGTCACATGTTCTGTCCCCCTTTGTAATGTACAGCGCTGAGCGAACTATTGGCGCTTTATAAATACTGTATAATAATAATAATTGAATGCTCAGTTCTCAGGTCAGCTCTGAGTACAGAGTGGTGATAGTTACCACTCAGTGCTCTGCCCCTCCACTGCTCATTGAAGCGCAGAACTGTGGATGGAGCAGGAATGGCTGGCTCAGGCTCTCAGCCACACACTGATAAGACTGAGCCAGTTACCAGTCAGGCATCTGGGCAGATCCCAACATTATTGTCAGGATCCCTGCAGAGCCTGTAAGGTCAACCAACAGCAGGCTTTAGTCCACTGTTGGCTGATTCTGGGTCATAACTAAGTGACCATGGCGAGGCCTGTTCTGAGTGCAACCTGTCCTGTTAAACTGCTGTATGGTCTTGGCCACGCAGCTCAGTTTCAGGGTCTTGGCAATCTTCTTATAGCCTAGGCCATCTTTATGCATAGCAACAATTCTTTTTTTCAGATCCTCAGAGAGTTCTTTGCCATGAGGTGCCATGTTGAACTTCCAGTGACCAGTATGAGACAGTGAGAGCGATAACACCAACTTTAACACACCTGCTCCCCATTCACACCTGAGACCTTGTAACACTAATGAGTCACATAACACCGGGGAGGGAAAATGGCTAATTGGGCCCAATTTGGACATTTTCACTTAGGGATGTACTCACTTATGCTGCCAGCGATTTAGACATTAATGGCTGTGTGTTGAGTTATTTTGAGGGGACAGCAAATTTACACGGTTATACAAGCTGTACACTCACTACGTCACATTGTAGCAAAGTGTCATTTCTTCAGTGTTGTCACATGAAAAGTTAGAATAATATATTTACAAAAATGTGAGGGGTGTACTCACTTCTGTACTCACTACTGTACTACTGCAGCCTGCAGAAACCATGGCTAGCCAATGCTTTCTCTCTGTTTATTAGGACTTGTACCAACAGGAGTTTGTTATTCTGGGATACACTGGCTCTGTGCTGCATCTGGAAACAGAGCTCAGGACACAGTGGCCACAATTTTCCACTGAGCCCTGTGTAGAAGAACCCTGCTATACCCCTGGGGAAGCAAAGGCAGAAGCCACAAAAAACAGGTATCATATATTTCATTTAAGACTGTCTACTTTCTGTATTTTCCTGTTAAATTATTTCTGTTATTTAGTATTTAAGTTTTTCTTACGTGTCCTCATCATCAGATCTTGGTTCAAAGCGCTCTTCATCCAGATCTTCTTCTGATGTCTGTTCTGTCGCTTCTTTTTCTACCTGTTCGGGAGGCCACTTCTTCAGTGTTCCATCTAAGAAATATTTCACAGTGGCCATTAACTAAAAGTATAGTTACTATAGAATCTGCGATTGAATGTCTGTTGACACCAGTTCTCTCTTTCTTTGACCACAGCTGATGCCTGAAACCTTATGAGTTCTGTAGAATTATCTAGTACTACCACTATCCAGTCATTACTAATTGTTATGAATCCTAATGCTTATGACATATATGGTGATCATTTTACTTGGAATGACTTGTGTATTCTTTCAACCAGATTAGCTTTGTAACATGTAGTGCCATTTTGGCTTTGTGTCCTTCATCTGCCTTGATGATGTATTGGTAACTACAAAAAAAATTTAAAAAATGACCAGATGTTGAACCAGCAGCCCCCACTCACAGAGCATTCCTTGCTGGTCACCTTAGTCTCTGTCCCCCACCACTTGCACACTTCCCTCACTATGAAAATCAGCTCTACTATACACCTACCCCTCTGCTGTCCCCTGCCACCTGCACACTACAAACTAATCAGAATTTACCTTTCTAGACCAAACACAATTTTGCTAGTATGTATTAAAAAGAAACTGCTCAGGACACCTCGTTGTTATTCTGCTACGGATGCTAAAGACATCAAGTAATTGCCTAATATGTTGTAAAACAATCCTCCTTTGCAGAGGGGCTGTATCTGCAGGATGGTAAAAGCACTTTTACTTCCCTGACCCTCCATTCCCCTGGCAGGCGGCTCTCCCTCATGCTCTGGCAGTGGACTGTTCCTCTGCATCCTCCCGTCCAATGCAGAACTATAGACCCTGCATTGGTCTTGCTGACATCGGAGGACATCTGACCACTGGAGTGCAGGGGAGGAGAGTCTTCAGGGACTTGTCCTGATGCAGTAGAGTGTCAGGTAAGTAACAGCAGTTTTTCCCATCCTCTAGACCAGGGGTAGGCAACCTTTCAGAGGTTGGTTGAGATCTCCCTGGACAAAATGGAGGACATAAAATATCCCAAGGGGAAGGGGGGGGGGGGTGTTTGGGTGTTGGGTGTGTGTTTGTCGTCGTCATTTACAAAAAAAAAAAATATATAAAGCCCTCAATAAAAACACATAGCATGTTACAGTAGTGTCTAATGCCACTGTTTTCAAATAACTCCCCCCCCACAGTAATATCATCTGCCCCCCCCCCACACAGTGGTTTCCTCTGCCTCCTTTCATATGTTCCCCCCCTCCCAGTAATATACTCTGCCCCCCCCCCCCACTGTAGTTTTCTCTGCCCCTCTGCCTCCCCCCCACACAGTAGTGTCCTCTGCCACCTCCCTTCAACACGCACACACATACGGTGGTGTCCTCTTCCCCTCCCCCCCCCCCCCACCCCCCCCCACACACACGGTGGTGTCCTCTTCCCCTCCCCCCCCACACACACACACGTTGGTGTCCTGTGATTCCCCACACACACAGTAGTGTCCTGTGCCCCACCTCTTGCAAGTAGTGTCCTGTGGCCCCCCAAAGCAGCATCCTCTCTCCTCCTGCCTCCCCATTGTAGTGCTCTTGGCTCTCCCATAGCAGAGTCCCCTGCCATCCCCCCTACAATAGTTTCCTCTGCCCCCCCCCATAGCAGTGGTCTCTGCACCCACCCCCCCAGTAGTGTTCCTGCCCTCTCCCTCTGTAGTGCCCTTTGCCCCCCCCCCCCCCCACAGCAGGGTCCTTAGCCATCTTCCCCCCACAGTAGTGTCCTCTGTACCGCTCCCCCTTGCAGAGGACACTACAGTGGGGGAAGCATAGTATATTATTTATTTACTGGGGGGGGAGGATAGTGTGAAAAAGGGCACTGTGCTGGGGGGACAGATGATACTACTGTGGGAGGGGAGTTATTTGAAGCAGGGCAGAAGACACTACTGTGACAACACTATGTGTTTTTATTGGGGGCTTTATTTCTAAAGTCAGGGTTTAACCCTTGCAAAGCAGGCGAAGCCCCACTGACAGAATTAATACTTTTCCCAGAGTTCATCTTTAATCCTGACCCAGAATACAATGTAATGATTATTACCACAAAAGTCTTCTGTGGGTAAAATGGAGTCATCCATCACTGCTTCTCCCAGAATCCTCATCAGTGTTCTTGGTGCCTCCTGATTCCACTGCTTCCTGTTCAATGATGTATCATCATCATTTTCTATGACGAAACAAAGAAATATGTAAAAGAAGTACATAATAGAAGATAGTACAAAATATAGATGTATTACTAAAGGCTTCTTCTAAGAAGAGTAACCATGTTCTATACAGCAGTGCTTCTTAACATTTTTGCAGTCAAGGAGCCCTTGAAAAGTATTCTCAGTAATGAGGCATCCCAGTCTAAGGCTTGGTTCACGTTACTGCATGTCGCCAAACACGCACAAAATCGCTCACTTTCCTGACACGCAGACAAATGCGCTGCTCTTTAGCAGATGCACAGGGGTGATATTAATTCTTAATTTTATCCCACACATTGGCAAATGTGGTGTGTTTTTGGTGCACTGCCTGTCAAATTGACTCTGAAAAAGTGACCTGAGCATGGATCATTTTTTTAAGAGGAGTGGAAGTCCTTGCTGCTATTAGGAACATGCCTTGTAAAAACTGTAATGCTTTACCTTCACTCACACTGCCAAGTACTGCACTGTAGTGAGAGGCAGAGAGCTCAGCACTCAGTAAGTCACCTCCACTTCCACTGCTTTCACTTCAGCTGAGGATTAGGAGTTCAGTCTTTTCTCTACCAGGATGCCGCAGCACCCCTGACGACTTCATGTGGTTGAGCAAGGCTGTCAGAGGGCTAGTCCTCCTAGGAGACCTAAATCCCTATGTCTCTACATATTGATTTGTTTTGGTCAACATAGACAGAAATATGACATCTTCAATGTTTTCTGAATCACTGACCCAGTACAAGTATACAAATCTTTGAAGTGATTGTCCAGCAAAAAAACATGTATTCTTAGTTCTGGACAGAGCCGAGAAGGGTTCTAACCCCTGTCAGATTTTACTTCTGTCTGGGGCTCTGTTAGAGATATATCCTCTCACTTTCTCTCCTACAATACTACAAAGGAAGAAGAGGCATACAAAAATATGATCACAAGGCACTGGTAGGATAGTTAAAGGGTTTGTTCACCTTTACCAAAAAACTGCCTATGCAGAAAAGGGACATCTGTAGATATAAAAAAAAAAAGGGGTGCAGCTTTGACTATCATTATTATCCTTGGTATGGATGTAGGCCATTTACATACCACAGTCTGACCTGAAATCTCCCAGGAAGCTGATAAGCAAGGCCTAAATATTACTGCTCACCTCCACCATCACAGAAGTGAGATCTCAGACTTTGAGCGCAAATCTACTGCATCAGGAGAGAGAAAAAAACACATGTGATGGGGTTTGAATCAGAGAAAGAGCTCACTCCTGTGATGGTGGAGGTGAACAGTAATAGCTAGGCCTCGCTTAGCAACATCCTGGGAGGGTTCCAGTCAGGCTTCATATAGTTACATAGTTAGTCTGGCTGAAAAAAGACAAAAGTCCATCCAGTTCAACCATTAAAAAAAAAAGTTATAATCCTATACCCACAGATGATCCAGAGGAAGGCAAAAAAAAAACAGCAAAGTATGAACCAATTTGCTCCTGCAGGGAAAAAAAAATTCCTTCCTGATCTCCTGAGAGGCAATGGGATATTCCTTGAATCAACTTTACCTATAAAATTTTAGTATCTAGTTATATTTTGTGTATCTAGGCAAGAATCCAGGCCTCTTTGAAGGCTAGGTTCACATTTCTGCGGGTGGTGCCACTGCGGATCCGCACAAAAATCCGACACTCACACAGAAGAATGTGGACCCGCGGGCGAGTGCCATTAATTCTAATGGCACACCGCCCGCACTGGAAATCGCATTTGCATTGGGAACCGAGGTTCCCATGCGGGCTGCAGTTTCCAAAGAAGTGCAGGGACTTCTTCCCTGCCTGTCCCAGGGCACGGGAGTCCATTCAAATAAATGGGCTCTCGTGCCCGCGCAAAACACGGCCCGCAGGAACGCACATATGTGAACCAGGGCTAAAGCAATCTACTGAGCTGGCCAAAACCAACTCTTGAGGGAGTCTATTCCACAATTTCACAGCTCTCACTATGAAGAAACCTTTCCGAGTTTGCAGATTAAATTTCATGAGTTACATAAATAGCCTACACCTATACCAAGGGCTTTATTCAACTTTAATCAGAGCTGCACAGTATGTTTTTATGTACAGATGTCCCTTACCTGCAAAGGCAGTTTTTGGTAGAGGTGAACTAACCCTGTAAAGTGTGTCACCACTATTTTTTTATTGCTAATGTGTGTATAATGTGTGTATATCTTTCTATGTTAGACCTCATTCACATGGGCACTGATTGTCTATACAATGTGAAAGGACCGTTTGTTTATGCGTCCCTAACCAGCAGGTGTTGCTTGCAGGCTGCCCATTCATGTCTATGCGAATAACACAGCAGCTCATCCTAATGTGGTAATCAAGTGGGTGCAGGTGAGTGACACCGAACTGACACTGTCTGTGTTCAGGACTGCTCTCCCACACCTGCACAGACAAGGAAAGTACCCACTTTGTTGGACTTCACAAACAGCCAACCCCCTTACAACACTGACGTTCCCAGCAAGGAAAATAGGGAATGCTGCAGTTATGTGACTGCTAAATCAAAGCAATAAAAAGTAATAGACTTTTATTTTCTGAAAAAATTAATATCATTATGAAATACAAATATTTGCATTACAACAATGTACTTTAAGTAAAGTGCGCTCACAGATAGCTTAAAGCAGTGGTCTCCAAACTGTGGCCCTGGGGCCAGATGTGGCCGTTTGCCTACCTCTATTCGGCCCTTGGGACACTATTACATCCACAACTGACATGATGGGCTGCTATTCCTCAAACTGACACCAATGATGATGGGGCACCATTCCTCAAACTGACACCAATGATGGGGCACCATTCCTCAAACTGACACCAATGATGGGGCACTACTCTTCCCACCGACACCAATGATGGGGCACCGTTCCTCAAACTGACACCAATGATGGGACACCATTCCTCAAACTGACACCAATGATGGAGCACCATTCCTCAAACTGACACCAATGATGGGGCACCATTCCTCAAACTGACTGACATTCCAAACTGACACCAATGATGGGGCACTACTCTTCCCACCGACACCAATGATGGGGCACCGTTCCTCAAACTGACACCAATGATGGCGCACCATTCCTCAAACTGACACCAATGATGGGCCACCATTCCTCAAACTGACACCAATGATGGGGCACTACTCTTCCCACCGACACCAATTATGGGGCACCGTTCCTCAAACTGACACCAATGATGGGGCACCATTCCTCCCACTGACACTAATAATAGGGCAACATTCCTCCCACTGACACCAATGATGGGGCACCATTCCTCCCACTGACTCCAATGATGGGGCACCATTCCTCCCACTGATACCAATAATGGGGCACCATTCCTCCCACTGACACCAATGATGGGGCACCATTCCTCCCACTGACACCAATGATGGGGCACCATTCCTCAGACTGAAACCGATGATGGGGCACTATCCCTCCCACTGACACCAATGATGGGGCACTAATCCTCCCACAGACACCAATGAAGGAGTATTATTCCTCCCACTGATACCAACAATTGGGCACTATACCTTTCACCTAAATAAATGAATGGGCACTGTTTACATCCACTGATGTTGGGGCATTTTCTACTCCCACCAGCCACAGTTCGGCCCACGTAGAGTCTGAAGGACAGTAAACTGGCCTTTTGTTTACAAAGTTTGGAGACCCCTGGCTTAAAGGATAAGTTTACCTTTTCTCAAAAAATAAAATTCCAAATATCATTGTCCTCCAAACCCCACTACACATAGCAGTCAAAGTATCGACCCATACAACATACACCGCAATACACAGCCCCAAAGTGAGTATCTGCTCACAATGACAAGCACTTATTGGTCAGATGTGCTTCTGATAGTGTAGGTCAACACAGTCACGTGGCTGCACTGACCAAAGAGCGATTGCCATTGCGACCATTATTGAACTAACTTTTAGAATAGAAGGTCCTGATGTTAGTTATATATGTGATTTCTCACCAGCGACAGTATCAAACATCGATGGCACTCCAGCTGCCATTAAATTGCCAATAAGTGTCTGAGGCTCTCTTGCTGTCCATTGTTTCCTGTTGTTTTGTGCTTTATGATTGAGGTTTCCACTATCTAAGTATAAAACAAAAAAATAACCCATACAATTATAAACTGCAACAATCCACATACCCTGCATCAGTCTAAAGCAGCCCATAGATGATACAATTTTCTTTCCTTCCACCATGGGTGGAAAATTGCTTGATTTGTTCATCAACACATTTAGTGTTGACGGGGGAATTCCTCCTTCGTCGCCATTGTGTTCTGCCAGTGGGGAGCCTTTCCAGCCATCAGAACACGATGCTTACTGCTGTCGGCTATAGCCGCCGGCAGAGATCACATGTAAAAATCTGACAGGCTGGTTGTACTGAAGTTGACTGATAGATCAACTTCAGTACAACGAACCAAGCTGCCCATAGAAGGATCGAATCGCAGCCGGTCCATGCTGAACAAGCTGAGATTCGATCCATCTATGGCTGGCTAAAGTCTTATAATGAATAATATTACAGTGTATGCAAAAAATAAAAAGCAGATACAGTAAACAGATATTCACAATGTCTTTTTTCAACTCTTTACTCAAAGATTTCCAGAATACAAAAGCAGCAAACAATGGTTGAGCAGCCAAGCTAAAATGGCGATCCATCAACTGTACATCAAGTATAAGCATCTAAACCCAAGAACAGAAATGTAATATATTGCAGCATATCAGTCTTTATATGTGCTGGGTGCATGCGTTCTTTTCCCCAGGCTTTTGTCCTTATTTGCACCTGGTGATCCTGCCAGTAAGATACTTCCTGTCCTTGGGTGACAACACACGCTCACTGCACTGAATCAATGGAGGAGCAGCATTGTTACGCTAGGGCAGGACTAGAGAACACCCCCCCCCCCTTTCACATATAAGAGGGAGGTGTTCTATAATCCACGGAAAGAGATGTGAACAATGCTAACTGATAACAATCAGCAGAAGCAGAGCACAAAAAGGTGTAAGATCACTAGAATTCTTGTAGGAAAAACCAGGTATTTTGAGGCACTTATCAAACAGATGTAACAAAATGCTTTTGATAATATACTGTATTGAACTGAGCAAAAGGAGCAGATTTAACAAGTTCACTATTTGTTGCTCAGATACAGAAGGAGTAAAGGCAAAACCCTGTCAGGTTTTTTTTTTTCACATCTGCATCCTGTTGGGTAGATTTCCTTTCACTTCCTGTCCCATAGCCACAACAGGAAGTGAGAAGAAATCCCTCCCAAGTGGGGGAAATCCTACCTGTTGCATATTTTTCTGGTTTTGTCCAGAATTTTCTATAAATCTATAATTTTCTATTAATATATTTCAAATGCTTTAGAATGGGGAAAGAAAAGTTTGAAAGTAAATTGATCTGAGATTTTTCTGTTATGGGTGCTTTAGAGAAATACCGGAAGACTAAACGGTTGTATGTCATGAAATTCCTGTATTGTGACCACATGTCTTGTACCTGATTGTTCTGAGTCCTCATGCATCTTATGCCACTTTTCACCCTCCAACTTCATTCCAAGAGCAAAGGTTAAAGTATCATTGAGAGGATCTGTCTCCTGCAAATTAACAAGAGCAACAAGAAATTATTTTAAATTACTGATTTATTCCATATTACATTTTTTTTAATGAGTACAATATTTCCGTACAGTATGAAATGTGTACATATATGCTTTATGAATTGCCAATAATTATATCTCTTAAAATTCTTCTATAAACAGCCTTCGCATCTACTTCCATGAACATTCAAGTCTCGCTCACACATGTGACGTTGAAAATGGGTGGTTTGGTGGTGTTTTTACCTCTTCCCAACTGCCTATCAACAATACTCTCAACTGTTAAAACAGGAAGCAGAGAGGTGTAACATGGCATCATGAGCACTGACTGCAGGCATTGATGTTTTGCAACCACCTATATCCACTTGAAATGCTCATGACATGTTTAACCATTTCAATACCGTGCAATTTTACACCTACCTGCCCAGGCCATTTTTCACGTTTCAGCGCTCTCACACTTTGAATGACAATTGCGCGGTCATACAACATTGTACCCAAACTAAAATTTTATCATTTTCTTCACACAACTAGAGCTTTCTTTTGGTGGTATTTAATCACCATTGGGGTTTTTATTTTTTGCTAAATTAACAAAAAAAGACCAAACATTTTGAAAAAAAACACGTTTTTCTTTGTTTCTGTTATAAAAGTTTACAAATAAATAAATGTTCTTCATAAATTTAGGCCGAGATGTATTCTGCTACATGTCTTTGGTGAAAATAACCCAAATTTGGATGTATTATTTAGTTTGTAGGAAAGTTATAGAGTTTACAAACTATGGTATAGATCTGAAATTGATCAATCCTGAAGTACTGACAGCCAATCTAATTTCTTGAGGTCCAAGAATGTCAGAACAGTATAGATATCCCCAAATGACCCCTTTTTGCAGAGTAGACAGTCCGACGTACTTCATAATGGCGAGTTTTTTGAAGTTGTATTTTTTTTGTCATAATTTTTCGGAAAATAAAAAAATGTAAAAAATTATTTTCACTATATTTTTTTTACACACTGTCACCAGTGCAGTACAGCGTCATCATATAACTGGCATGGCGGTGAACAGGGACACTGACTGGTGACAGTATGAAAAAAAAATATTTTTTTTTTTAATTTTTTTTTATTATTTTTAATTTTTTATTACATTTTTTTTTTTTTTAAGATTTTTTTTTTCATATTGTACTATGACCAAAGTAGTACAATGTTACCATAGTAACATTGTACTACTTTGGGGAAGTGATCAGTATTTTTTTTATTATTTTTTTTTACACAATTTGCTTATAGCAAAGAATTACTTTGCTATAAGCAAGCATTTACCTGAATGAAATCGATTCATTCAGGTTTTTTTTTTTTTGTGCTTAGCTGTGATTTGGTCACAGCTAATCACATGACATGTGCATGTGATTAGCTGTGACCATTCACAGCTAGGCAGTAGTATACAATGGATGGCATGAATGAAGCCATCCATTGTATACAACTGTCATGTGACCTGCTGTGATTGGTCACAGCAGGTCACATGGTACCAGCAACGGGGGTCGGTACTCAGATCTGTCATCGGCCGTGTCCGAGGTACACGGCCGGTGACAGATCGTGCCGCTGCGAGGCTCTGCATTACCGCAAACTGCGCATGTGCGGGTGCACGCCAAATGGCGTGCACCCGGAATGCCGCAGCACTTCTGAAGCCGCCAAACGGCCATTGGCCGGGCGGCTAATGGTTAAGGAGTGGCTGAAAGGGGCATCAAAAGTAATGATTTCCCATTTTAGCATTGTAAAAAAAAAAATGTATGTGCATTAAAGGCTGCTTTGAAATTCAAAGCCTGTGTGAACAAAACATGGTTGTAAGCCTCAGACATAAGTACCTGTCTTAATCCAGAGCACTAAGTGTCATTTCTGCCTGTTGCTTTGTTCCTCTGCTATCAGCATGAATCATTTCTGGCAAGTTTTCCTGACACCAAGAGAAAAATGGTGACAGGGGAGGGACCTCCAGCAGATTGACAGCCTCGGCTCCTGTTCCTGTGGGGAGGGGGGGGGGTCTCTTCCCTCCAATCAGTTCTCAGAAGTCTCATTACTGAGCTATGCAGAGTGTAATTTCAGCTCTCTGCCCCCTTTTTTCTGACAGCTCAGTCAAGCTTTATAATTTCTCAACTCTGAACGGATATAGAAATAAGAAGGCTGAAGATTAACAGGTACAACTTATGTAGGTGGATTTGTTTCATCCCTGTATATCACCTGAGGCCAGTCACTGCGCTGGGTATATGTAAAAGTTTACAACCACTTTAAGGTAACATTCAAGGACAAGCTCGGCAGACAATTAAAAAAAATCAGCAAATTGCAATATTTAAAGTGATACTAAAGTCTTGTTTTTTTTTTTTTAATAAATAATAAACCTATCATACTTACCTGCTCTGTGCAGTGGATTTGCACAGAGCAGCCCAGATCCTCCTCTTCTTGGGTCCCCAGCTGGCACTCCTGACCCCTGCCTCCAGCTTGCTATGGGGGCACCCGAGCAGGCGTGCTCCGGAGCCGAGGCTCTGCGTGTCCATTCACACACAGAGCCATGTCTCAACCCCGCCCCCTCCCTCTCTTGACTGGCCAATGGTTCCTGCTGCTACTTTGACCAATCATGAGTGAGAGTCCTGAGAACCGAGGCTCTTGTAGACATCGTTGGATCGAGAGTGGCTCAGGTAAGTGTTGGGGGTGGGGGCTGCTACACACAAAAGGTTTTTCATGGAGGTAAAAATCTTAAGCCTTTAGAACCACTTTACTGGGAACCCCACTGAAGTCAATGGGAGGGGAATCATAAAAATCAATTGTCTATTTTCAAGGCTAATAGGGAGGGGACTGTCAAACAAAGGGCACGAGGAGCTGGGAACTGCTAGGGAGGACATGTACCAAAGCAAAAACAATTTTAAAATACCATTTGGCAGGCAGCAGCTCTTTTAAAAAGGCGTAAGGGCCCATTCACACTAGAACGTGGTTCGTGAGACCAGCGTTCCGTACCAGTTTCCAGCAACGCATTCCACCCTTGTGATCTGCAGCTGTTGTCAGTGAAAAGTTAACAACTCCTCAAACGCGGGTCGCAAACACAGTGCATTTGCCAACACCAGATTGCATAGCACAAAAGTACCATGCGATCCCATTGCACTGCATTTCCAAACGTAGTGCATGTATGTTTGGTGTGGTGCGATTTCAGCCTATTAAAAATGAATGGGCAAAAATCAGACTGCATAGAACTACATGTGAATCACACGGGAACTGCACAGCGTTCCTTTGCGATTCATATGCAGTTCCTAGTGTGAATGGGCCCAAAAGGTAAATATTAGAAATGCTAAATTACTTGAAATAACCCCAGATACATAAAAGGTGCTTCTAAACCATTCAGTCACTAGTTTCCATTTACCTTATACACCCACAAGCATGCCATTTAAATATTAACAAAGCTGAACTACAGAACTCCACCTATCCTTGCACCTCACTGCCCCTCTCCACATACCTACATTGATTTCCTCCCCAGCAAAACAATACCGCTCTCTTGACTGCCAAATGCCTACCCACATAGTGGGATTGATTTACTAAAAATGGAGAGTGCAAAATCTGGTGCAGCTGTACATGGTAGCCAATCAGCTTCTAACTTCAGTTTGTTCAGTTAAACTTTGACAATAAAACCTGGAAGCTGGTTTTTGTGCAGAGCTGCACCAGATTTTGCACTCTCCAGTTTTAGTAAATCAACCCCACTGTGTGTAGATAAATGGCTGTTCAGAGCTGTAGATCTGGGGGTGTGCCATAGGCCATGACCTCCCAGCAGCTGTCCCTCAAAGACTTTTAAAAGCCTGGTGATAGCATCACAGGAATTAATAAAAGCTGTTTCTTGCTACTGGAATGCAGTAAAAGAAAAAATGCTGAGACATGCTCTAGATGGAGAGAGGGAGGTTTGGGTGTAATTTTGAGTCATGCCTATACAAATCGTTTAATTGTCCATATACCTCCCATGGCGCTCTACGTCACCGCAGGAAATATTTGTGATGCAGGGGTCAGCAGGAGAAATCAAATCTGCCTAGAAAGGTGAGTATACAGCTTCTTATCTTGGTACCGTCAGTAAGGGTACTTTCTATAATATTATGTGCAGTAAGGAGCTTAAAGAATTAGCACTAAAAGTGATTGTAATTATATTTTTTTTTCTTAATAACAAACATGTCATACTCACCTGCTCTGTGCAGTGGTTTTGCACAGAGCAAACTTGATCCTCTTCTGCGGTTTCCCCGTTGGCTCTCCTGACTCCTCCCACCTTCCAAGTGCCCCCCATAGCAAGCCGCTTTCTCTGGGGGCACTCATGTGGGAGCTTTCCTTACTAGGGATTTGTGCATCCATTGGCACATACAGCGCGGCTCAGCCACACCCCCTGCTCCCTTCTCACAGGATTTGATTGACAGCAGCAGGAGCCAATGGCTCCTGCTGATGCCTCCACGTCCAGTGAGGAGAGAGTGGGTGGAGAGAGCTGCTGCTCTGGGGCACAGCGCTGGATTGAGATTGGGTTCAGGTAAGTATTTAGGGGGGCTAGGCTGAAACTGAACACAAACTTGTTTTACCTTCATGCAGAGAACGCTTTAAGGTAAAAAAACTTTCTTCCTTTACAACCACTTTAAGCAGTTGCTGACCACATCATATAGTGTGCTCCCTGCGCCGGATCACGTGATCCGGCTCTTCTGGTTAGGGGGCTGCTCTCACGCTCCCGATGCCCCGGCTGTGCTGTACACTGCATAAGACGATCAGCGGGTCCCAACCTATGACTGATGGCCAGGACCCAGTAATCAGTGAAGAGGCTCAGAGGACAGAGCTCTATGAATGTAGACAACACAGAACCTTGTCCTGACAGCGGGGATGAGCCGATTTTTGTTTCCCTTGAAGCAGGGAACAAAAACTGCTCATCCCCTAATAAAAGCACCACGCACTGAACACACAAAGGACTGTTAGGCATACACCTAACCCTTTGATTGCCTATAGATGTTAATCTCTTCCCAGCCAATGTAATTAGTACAGAGTCAGTGTATAATGTTAGCACTGATCACTGTATTAGTGTCATTGGTTCCCAAAAAGTGTCAGATTAACTGCCGTACTATCACAGTCCTGCTATAAGTCACTGGTCGCTGCTATTACTAGTTTAAAAAAATTCCAGTATATATACCGTCATTTGTAGATGCTACAATTTTCATGCAAACCAAATATACACTTTTTGGGATTTCTTTTACCAAAGACATGTAGATTTTGGTCTAAATTTAGGAAGAATTTTTTTTTTTTTTTTTAAATAAGATATGTTTATAACAAGAAGTAAAATTCAAAATTTTCTGTCTTTTTTCGTTCACAGCGCAAAAAATAAAAAACCCAGTGGTGCTCAAACACTACCAAAACAAAGCTCTATTTGTGTGAAAAAAAAAATATATAAATGTAATTTGTGTACAGTGTTGCATGACCGTACAATTGTTAAGCTAAAGTAGCGCAGTGCCGTATAGCAAAAAATGGCTTGATCATGGAGTAAATCTTCCAGAGGGCAAGTGGTTAAAGAGAAACTATAATGCTTTTGTGCAAATTTTATTTAAAAAAAAAAAAAAAAAAAAAACATTTCCATTAATGAGCTTCTAAAGCTGAGCCCCAGGCAGATAATAAATACACAGATTAATGTGGCTCAGTATTCATTAATTCATCATTAAATGTATTTTATTTTTAAATGCAAGCGGTGTAAGTACCTGAATTTGGCTTGGTATCAGCCTCATGTAATCCATGTACAGCAATGCTCAGACTGGGTTAGGGAAAAGCAGCACAGACGATTAGAAGTGCTGCAGTGTTCATATGCTGACAACATGCTGATATGAGCAGTGAGCAGAGTGACAGAAAGATACAATAACCACATCAGTTTGCTGCTTCTCTTTTTACTACCCAGTCACAGGCTGGGGCAGGGACAAGACATGTAATTGTTGTTTAACTGCAGCAGGTCTAGTCTCCTGCCCTGCTTGACTGGGCTGTGCTGTGGTGGTGGGGCTGTGTAAATCTCAGAACTGGATGCACAGTTTTGGTAAATAAAACTAGCCCTATATATATATATATATATATATATATAAATACATGTTGTCTATTTAGCTGTAAAGGAAAAGGGACATTCTTAAGGAAAAGGGGGTCATTCTTTGGAGGACAGAAAGGACAACTGGTTTGCAATAGCATAAAAGATGAAATTTACTTCAAACTGGAACAAACATCACCAAACAGGAGTGGGGAACCCTCAACACCATCTATCCTCCACATATAATGCAGTTATAACATCTCTACTCTAGTGATTCAAAAAGTCACACCTTCAGCCATGGAAATCAAAGGATTGACATCTTTGCAGACTTGCTGACACCAAGGGATGGGATTAGGTCATTAAAACAGGGTGGTTCCACAACTTTCACACCACCCATCCTGTTCTTGGATGCATTCCCTGGTGGATTAATGTGATTGGGTTAACTGTGTGGCTATAAATGCTGCATTATGTTCCTGACACTTAGTAGAATGAAGAATCTGCTTGTACAAGCTTCAACATTACAGAACAAGTCTAGCTGAATGTGACCAACTACTACTAGCCTAGCCTACTACCGTGAAATAGATAATTAAGAACCTTCACATACTTCATCTCCACTTGATTTAGAAAAATATTAAATTAAATGTTATTGTTTTAGTCCTGACCATGATTAAAAAAAGAAAATATACACTTGAAACCATTTTACATTCATTTTTAGAATAAAACATCTCCTAAATAAGATATCTAAATGATGCAAACTGAAAGAGGGTGAAAAAAAACATGTTATCTACCTACCTCTTCATCGTCTCTGCTGTGATCTTCTGCAATAGGCCCATCAGTAGTTTCCTCTTCTATAATCAGGTCATTTATTTCAAACTTTATACCACCCTGTAACAATCAGATATTACAAAAAAAAAGAAATTGTTTTCTTTTAAAAATGTAAATAATGATAATAATAAAAAAGGATTGTGCTTTTTTTTATGTCGGATATGAATATTTTATTAGTTAGCTGTAGAAAATAGTCTTTTGCATATCCTCTTCCTATACAGATTCTGGAAATATGTTAACCCATTTACCTTTATTTTGTATTTCTTTTGCAGTGCTTTTCGCTCTTCTCGGTTTTGCTGGACAATTTGATTATACTGTTCTTGAATCTCCTATATGACAGTAAAATATATTTCTCATTAGGAAAAGAAAATATAGAAAGATGATGCATGGAAAGTTTACATAAAAACAATAGCAGAGGCATCTTTTCTGGGGGCAGGAATTGGATTCAATATCAGTTTAAAAATATTTTACCTTGATATGGCAGAATTGTCACACTCTTGGGTAACTGAGAAAATGGCTGCAGTTTTGCTAAAGCCTGATCTGCGCTCAGATCGAGTTCCAGAGGCTACTGACAGGTGGAAGTGATGTGACGCCTCCTCACAGCCTGTTTTAGCCCCATTTTGCCAAAAATCGTGCTGCAACTGCGTGCATTTGCTAGACTGTGTAGCATTCGACAGGCTTGCTTGTAAGTGGGATGCAATTTAGCTAGGTGCTGCCCCGGATAGGAAGGTTAGGGGTAATCTTTTTCCTGGGTCTTTTGCTTGGCAGGTTTCTTTGAGTCTGGGGTTTGCCCCGAAGACACCAGCCACTGAGGAATGCCATTAATGGACCTTTTAGCACATGGACTCCACCTTTGCAGGTATGCCAGGGTAGCACATAGCCTGAGTTAGGATTAGGGACAATGGAAAAGGACTGTTTCTTGCTTTTGGCACTTTTATTATAAGTAAAACGTTAAAACTTTCTACTAGTCTGAAGTCATTTAAAGGAGCACAATGCAAGTAAACGGCACATTTCTACAGCTGTTGGGTCACTAACATATTAACGTATGAAGAGACAGCACTTAAGAGTCATTCTGGTACAGTACAAGTGGTTGCCATGGGTAATGGAAGTCTACAGTCGGTTAATGCAGCCTGTAGGTAGCGTGTACCTTTAATAGGCAGAACAGCCTCTAGCAGCGAGCGAGATGTTGTCGGCACTCCTTCCGCCGTGGTCTGTCTCCTATAGCAATGGGAGTGGACTCACACCGCAGAGGTCCCCATCCTGTACAGAGGTACAGCAGCTCAAGAGTCAAGTGCAAACATGAAGCCTGTGCGAGGTGCACAGCAGGGCCCACTCTGCTACTAGGAATTATAGTGGAAACTGCTGGACAGGTGGTTGTGGACAAAGCTCAGCGTGTCCCTCCTAATTGCAAGTTACAGTGTAAGGATGTTCATTAATATGGAAACCCCTGAGTTAACTGAAACAGTTGTGGTGCAAGTATGCATGGCTTCATCAGAGTAGAGGTCTGCCTTAAGGTTGAGTATTCCCCCACGGCAGCCTCAGCCTTGTCCTGGGGCACTGATGAAAACGGCACAAGAGTTTAAATTGTGTGATTCTTGTGAGCTACTATGGTGTATTTTAAATTAACTGATACATTTAAGTGTGTAAAAATAAAAATTATTTAAAAAAATATCTTATGTGACTACATTTAAAAATAAATTAAATTATAAATTAAATCAGTGGGTCGCCTACACCTTACACATACCCATACCAATGTGTCTTTAACAAATAAAAAAAACAATATATGTCGCGCTCCACTTAACAATATACACAAATCAATAAGTGCAAAAACATATACTGAGTCCTTAATAAATTTCCTTTACGTGATATTATGAATCACGCTAGTGCTGCATACATATCTTCACATATCAAGTCCTCAGGAGAAATCCTCAAAACAGTCCGTGATCTTATAGTATCTTCTATAGTATATTGAAAAATAAATAAAATATAGTCCACCAAATTTATATATATATATATGCTGTGCTCTCACCTGATGTATATGACCAAACCGTTAAGTGAGGTCATACACGCTTGTGTCCCTTTAATTGGGCTCAGATTTGGACATGTGGATAAATTCCTGTATCCCAGATGGATGGATGGATGAATGGAGTTTTTTCCTCTTTTTCCAGCAAAGGGTCTTGCCGTTATCCAGAGATCCTTTTCCTCAGTATGGATGGATGGAGTTATCCCTCTTCCCACTAGGGTGTCTCTTGACTCCTTTCAAACTTTTTCCTCCATATATGTGTGTCCCAGCATGTCCCTGGAGTGTGGGAGGAAACCCATGCAGGCACAGGGAAAACATGCAAATCCCAGGTAGGTAGGCCGAAGACCATAACTAGGATGGGTAGATTTCTCTCGGTTAGGGTTCAAGCACACAGGACATTTTAACCTATACAAGTGTGTATGACCTCACTTAACGGTTTGGTTGTATACATCAGGTGAGAGCACAACTGGTGAAGGAGCACAGAGTATATATACATTTAGTGGACTATATTTGGTCCTATACATCTGGTGAGAGAAGACACAATAAGATCACGGATTGTTTTGAGGATTTCTCAATATGTGAAGATATGTAGGCAGCACTAGCGTGATTGATAATATCACGTTACGGAAATGTATTAAGGACTCAGTATATGGTTTTGCACGTATTGATTTGTGTATATTTTTAAGTGGCACAAGAGTAAAGGTATCCCATATGTGTAAAAGCGTGATCCTGTTACAAGTGCCTAGCGTAGCCCAGAAGAACCCCACACACCGGGCAGCCCACCTATGTGACTCAGACTTGGCGCCCATTGAGTTAACTAGGGGAAACATGGAGGGGAGCAACTCCAGCCATACCCTGCCACTCCTACATGCTGCCCATCAATCGTGTCAGGCTGGGTGAACTTTGGCACAGCATGTAGACACCCCTGTCAACTTGGGGGGGGGGGGGAGTTGGCACATTGTTGCCACCCCACAACCACAGGTCTAAATGAAGCCTAACAGTAATTTGTTTTTTTTGGCACTGAAAACAAGTGAAATAAAACAGTGTTACCCCAGATACATTAAATTTCACCTTTTTTGGGGGGAGACAGGGGCAGTTTTTTGAGACAGGCACTCGATCCCATAAATTCTCAGGCAAGAATTAAGTCAGTAGGGGGACCCCCTGTGATGTGTCCCATGTGGCTGTGGGACTAGTCTGATAGTGCTGCCATACCTCACTCACACACAGCAGCTAGCCGTCTGTAAAATGTTGTGCTGGAGAGCAGAAGCCTGGCAAAGAATTGCCTCCAAGGAAAACAGTGCTGGACTTCATGAACTGGTAAGTATCTCTCTCTCTCTTAATTTTTTTTTTAACACAGAGTGAAGTTCCTCTTTGAACATGGTGAAACTCATCCTTTATCCATAGTGAAGAAGATAGGTTTTCACCCCCCTTCAAACAGTATTGTAATTGTCTGCTCAGTCTTTCGGTCAGTTAGCTCTGGGAGTAGGATGGCCACTCATAGCTGAAAGCTACACTAATCTGTACCTGCTATCCTTAAGATGGGCAGAAATGTTACTGCAACTCCAGAAAGCAACTGGGCCTTGGGAACCTGTGATATTTTTTAGGTATACTAGCTTGATACTTTCTGACTGAACCCAGGCACTGGTGTTTTCTATAATTGGAAAATGTTTTTTTTTTGCTGTGATTATCTTTATCAATTGAAGGTGGTGGTGCAGCCATGTCTGGGTACTTACCTCTGTGGGCTCTTTACCATCTGGTTGGTCTGCAGTAGAAGGCCCTTTATGGTTACCTGCCTTTACAAGGTATGTTCCATCGGATGCTTTAGGAGCCTCCTGTGCAGAAGCATATGATAAGCTTTTTCATTTGCGTTTATTTATGCTGGTTTTAAAAATCACACATACATTGTTTTGTTTACATTACGTCTGTCTGCAGTCTATGCTCATCAACAGTATAGAGGAATGTGTTTGTGGAAATGTGCAAGTGATGACAGCTCTTAGGGCTGGTTTATACAGGATGCAGTCCAGTATTTTCCATGTATTCCAATGGCCCTAGTTCACACCAGTGCAGTCAGTTCCAGTCATTTTCCGGTGCAGAAAAAAAAGTAGAACATGCTACATTTTTTTTCTGCACAGAACTGTACTAGCACATAGCAAAACACATATAAAATGCACCGGAACAAATGTGGTGTGAACTGTAAGCGAAAAACATATCCGGAACACATCCAGAGTGTGTTTTTGTTGTGTGAACTGGCCCTTAAAATACAGAGATAAAAAAAAGCAGAGGTGAGATATTATTTGAAAAGCTGCTTTGAACCTATGTATTAAAATACCCCAAAATCAAATAAAAAAGGCTTTATTTACTTCAGATGTCCAGCTGTCATTTTTCAAAATTACATTTCTGACCAATGCTATATAAGAATACTAGACTACATAAGAAATTGTGTTAAATAGGAGAAAACATTCCAAAAAAATGAAAACAAACACCTAATTAGTTGCTACTGGGCACCGATGATCAACCAATATAAATACGTTTGAAAGGTGCCAAATTAAATCAGATATGCATTTTCAGGTTTCTAAAAATAAAATTTTTCTGTAAATGATTTAATATGAATAACTCATGAATAAATATTTATTCTAAAAATATTAATGGACTTCACTTCCACTTATGTGAGTCTGTACATAATTCCCTAAACTTATTAATTAAAGGTACAGATTGCAAAGAGTGGGTAAAGTTCACAAAACATAATGGGAGCTGATTTTTTTCATGTCAGGTATGAGGGATCACACACAAGGGGGGAGTTACTAAAACTGGAGCACACAGAATCTTGTGCAGCTTTGCATAGGAACCAACCAGCTTCTAGTTTTCATTTGCAAAGCTTAACTGAACAAGCTGAAGTTAGAAGCTGATTGGTTGCTGTATACAGCTGCACCAGATTCTATGTGCTCCAGTTTTAGTAAATCTCCCCCACAGAAGGCAAACACCAAACAGTTATCATGGGATACCATCAGTATTTTTTCCCAAAAGGGGAAAATGCAGTCAGGTCCATAAATATTGGGACATCAACACAATTCTAACATTTTTGGCTCTATGCACCACCACAATGGATTTGAAATGAAACAAACAAGATGTGCTTTAACTGCAGACTGTCAGCTTTAATTTGAGGGTTTTTACATCCAAATCAGGTGAACAGTGTTGGAATTACAACAGTTTGCATATGTGCCTCCCACTTGTTAAGGGACCAAAAGTAATGGGACAATTGGCTTCTCAGCTGTTCCATGGCCAGGTGTGTGTTATTCCCTCATTATCCCAATTACAATGAGCAGATAAAAGGTCCAGAGTTCATTTCAAATGTGCTATTTGCATTTGCAATCTGTTGCTGTCAACTCTCAAGATGACATCCAAAGAGCTGTCACTATCAGTGAAGCAAGCCATCATTAGGCTGAAAATACAAAACAAACCCATCAGAGAGATAGCAAAAACATTAGGCGTGGCCAAAACAACTGTTTGGAACGCACCTGTGATCTCAGCAACACCAAAAGACCCGGAAGACCATGGAAAACAACTGTGGTGGATGACCGAAGAATTCTTTCCCTGGTGAAGAAAACACCCTTCACAACAGTTGGCCAGATCAAGAACACTCTCCAGGAGGTAGGTGTATGTGTGTCAAAGTCAACAATCAAGAGAAGACTTCACCAGAGTGAATACAGAGGGTTCACCACAAGATGGAAACCATTGGTGAGCCTCAAAAACAGGAAGGCCAGATTAGAGTTTGCCAAACAACATCTAAAAAAGCCTTCACAGTTCTGGAACAACATCCTATGGACAGATGAGACCAAGATCAACTTGTACCAGAGTGATGGGAAGAGAAGAGTATGGAGAAGGAAAGGAACTGCTCATGATCCTAAGCATACCACCTCATCAGTGAAGCATGGTGGTGGTAGTGTCATGGCGTGGGCATGTATGGCTGTCAATGGAACTGGTTCTCTTGTATTTATTGATGATGTGACTGCTGACAAAAGCAGCAGGATGAATTCTGAAGTGTTTCAGGCAATATTATCTGCTCATATTCAGCCAAATGCTTCACAACTCATCGGACGCCGCTTCACAGTGCAGATGGACAATGACCCAAAGCATACTGCAAAAGCAACCAAAGAGTTTTTTAAGGGAAAGAAGTGGAATGTTATGCAATGGCCAAGTCAATCACCTGACCTGAATCCGACTGAGCATGCATTTCACTTGCTGAAGACAAAACTGAAGGGAAAATGCGCCAAGAACAAGCAAGAACAGAAGACAGTTGGAGTAGAGGCCTGGCAGAGCATCACCAGGGATGAAACCCAGCGTCTGGTGATGTCTATGTGTTCCAGACTTCAGGCTGTAATTGACTACAAAGGATTTGCAACCAAGTATTAAAAAGTGAAAGTTTGATTTATGATTATTATTCTGTCCCATTACTTTTGGCCCCTTAACAAGTGGGAGGCACATATGCAAACTGTTGTAATTCCTACACCGTTCACCTGATTTGGATGTAAATACCCTCAAATTAAAGCTGACAGTCTGCAATTAAAGCACATCTTGTCTGTTTCATTTCAAATTCATTGTGGTGGTGTATAGAGCCAAAAATGTTAGAATTGTGTCGATGTCCCAATATTTATGGACCTGACTGTACTTGTTCAAATATTGGTGACATTCTTTACTGGTTAAGGAAAAACATATTTTGAGTGGTTGCTTCCATCTTGGAAGTTTTGTCATGTGCCCTAGACTTCTTCACTGCTGCATTCATCAGCAGAACAGATATTAAACAAAGCTCTAATGAATCACTTTACCTGTGGCGCTCCGGCTCTGGCTTTTATCTCCCTGACTTCATTGTGGTATTGCTGCCGAATGAGCTCCAGCTGTTTCAGATGTTCCTGTCATGCAAACATTAGTTCTTATAAACCATGTGCTACTACACATTCAGGTTCTATGTCTAACTATCCAGTTTACCCAAGCAGTATACATACTGCTTGGGTAAACTGAATAATTAGACATAGAACCTGAAATCTTTGAGATGTGACCTCTGGACATAACATAAAACTCAGTAATAAACATGCTCGAAAAAAAATAGCTATTTACCATTATCTAATCTTTTTTTGTTATGCAGTGCATTCCCAAATGAGATGTAACTTTCCACATCTGTTCCAAACCTGCAACAACCCGAAAAGTCTCTGTGTGCACCACTACCATTCCTGTACACTGCTGGGACCCAAATAGCCATAGGATCCACAGGAACAATCATACACTATATTGCCAAAAGTATTGGGACACCCCTCCAAATCATTGGATTCAGGTGTTCCAATCACCTCCGTGGCAACACGTGTATAAAATCAAGCACCTAGATATGCAGACTGCTTCTACAAACATTTGTAAAAGAATGGGTCGCTGTCAGGAGCTCAGTGAATTCAAGTGTGGTCCCGTGATAGGTTGTCACCTGTGCAATAAGTCCATCCGTGAAATTTCCTTGCTATTAAATATTCCACGGTCAACTGTTAGTGGTATTATAACAAAGTGGAAACAACAGCAACTCAGCCACGAAGTGGTAGGTCACGTAAAATGACAGAGCGGGGTCAGCGCATGTTTAAAAGTACAGTGCGCAGAAGACACCAAATGTCAACAGCTAAAGACCTCCAAACTTGGTGTGGCTTTCAGATTAGCACAACAGCAGTGTGTAGAGAGCTTCATGGAATGGGATTCCATGACCGAGCAGCTGCATCCAAGCCTTACATCACCAAGTGCAATGCAAAGCGTCAGATGCAGTGGTGTAAAGCACACCGCCACTGGACTCTAGAGCAGTGGAGACGTGTTCTCTGGAGTGATGGATCACGCTTCTTTGTCTGGCAATCCGATGGATGTGTCTGGGTTTGGCAGTGGCCAGGAGAACAGTACTTACCTGATTGCATTGTGCCAAGTGTAAAGTTGGGTGGAGGGGGGATTATGGTGTGGGGTTGTCTTTCAGGGGTTGGGCTAGGCCTCTTAGTTCCAGTGAAGGGAACTCTTAAGGCATCAGCATACCAAGACATTTTGGACAATTCCATGCTCCCAACTTTGTGGGAACAGTTTGGGGATGGCCCCTTCCTGTTCCAACATGACTGCACACCAGTGCACAAAACAAGGTCCATAAAGACATGGATAAGTGAGTTTGGGGTGGAGGAACTTGACTGGCCTGCACAGAGTCCTGACCTCAACCTGAAAGAACACCTTTGGGATGAATTAGAATGGAGACTGCAAGCCAGGCCTTCTCATCTGATATCAGTGCCTGACCTCAGAAATGCACTTCTGGAAGAATGCTCAAACATTCCCAAAGACAAACTCCTAAACCTTGTGGACAGCCTTTCCAGAAGAGTTGCAGCTGTTATAGCTGCAAAGGATGGGCCAACTCAATAATGAACCCTACGTACCAAGACTGGGATGCCATTAAAGTTCATATGCGTGTAAAGGCAGGCGTCCCAATACTTTTGGCAATATAGCGTATATACATATATACATACACACACAGTATACATGGTAATAATATGGTCACGACCTAATAGTCTAGAACAGGGGTCTCCAAGCTTTTTCAGTATGAGGGCTACATCATATATTACACGAACATTCATGGACAGAAAAAAAAATACAGTTTTATAAAGGAATTAATAAAATGTAGATGAATGAATACACTTTATATGTTTTTTTGTTTTTGTTGTAATCAGGAAGATATGAACAACAGGGAAAGAACTTCAGTAAAACAAAAAAAAAATGTTTCAAATAAACTTTTGCCACCAATAAAGGTTGAAAAAAATTAAGTTCAGCCTGTATCTTTCTTATCTATTGTCTGCATCTTATCCCCTTTCACATCAGAGTCCCCCTTACGTCAGAGCAGTGAAGCCAAACGTCAGTATTTTTACTGTCAGCCAGTAGCACTTTTCTCCTGCCAGTGACAGGAAATGGTTGCCCGTTAAAAATATGGCTGTGACGCGCTCGGCTGGTCATGTGCGGGTCTGAGAGTCAGGAGCAAGGCAAGCCGGGAGCAGGAATGTCAGTGCTGTTTGGACTGGAGTGAACTGAAAAGACCACCTTGCATAGAGAGAGACTGTCACTGTGACTCAGGAGGCTACGTGTCCTATTGGTGTGGTGTGATTGTGTGGGCTGCTGCACACTGCTGTCAGTGTCACTTTGACAGTAAGTTTCATGTGTATGTGTGCCTGCCCATTCTAATTTCTTGCCCTCCTGAGTCCTGTCCCTGAGCTACTTACTTACTATATTGAAAAGAAAAGAAAAATTTTGTTTCTTGCCTTGATATCTACCTTAACCCCCCTAGCAGTCTGATTATGTCAATATTTCTGTGCTCAAAGCTGTACATTTTTTTGCATGGAAATATGTTGTTTTTTTATTGTAGGCCTGTAATTTTTAATAAAATAAATAATCATAAAAAATTATAATAAAATTAAATCAATAATGTGATCAAACCAAAAACACTGAAATTTGAAATATAGCACCAAGTTTGCACATCACTGAGCTAAGTCACAAAATCGTTTTCAGTGTCTGATGACGAATTTCCCCACGAATCATTATCACTCAATTCTGCAAGTGGTTCTGATTTACTATTGCTGTTCTCTAGCTGGTCTAAAACTGCTTTTGACCTAAAGGGACGCTTTTTGGACACCATGGACGTTTCTCAGTTTCCAGGCAGTAAAAGTAAGAATGCAGGCAGGGCACAGGACAAAGCACTCGGGACAAAATGTATGTTAAATGGTTTGATACAGTAATGTTATACTGTGTGATTTTAGTGTATTAAGTGAATATCACTTTTAAAATGTTTTAATTTTCTGTCCCCCGTACGTCCCAACGCTCGCAGGGAACAGAACCCAGAAGACAGATACCGGCATCGGCCGGAGGAGATGGCCGGGGATGCTGCAGGGGGGACATCACGGGAGCGAAGGACAAGGTAAGTGATCGAGGGAATCCCCGAGCAACGCTGCAGGGGTAATTCCGAGTGCATACAAAAAAGGGGGGTTGTGAAAAGAGATTCACAGAAAAGCGGCTACATAATGAACAGAACGTGACACTAAGGGAATAATTTCCAAAAATTATGCTTTATTACACACAAATGAATATGACATATGGGCATTTGCCCTGGTTTACCATCACCTCAGTATGAGACAATACACACAGACCTAAAACCATTTAAAATGACACAAAAACCGGTCTAAATGTATGTGTAGCAGGGAAAATGGCTACATGAGTCTAGTGTCCCTGCAACACAAACACACAGGTGAACACTTCCCTAGGGAGGTGTATCCAAAAATTATGCCATGGGCATACCATAATAGAGGATATAAGGGATTAAACAGTAACCATAATGGCAAATCCCTATCAAGAAATCCAAAAAATTATGCTGTAAATATATCACATGTATGCAATGGAGCAAGCACAATATGCGTCAAAAAGGAGAGTAGCAGGCCTCAGACCTGTATGAAGGAAGACATAAATGTCAAATATATTGTACAATACATTCCTGTGCCGGCACAAGTGGTTGGGGCCCATTCATCTGTAATATAGATAGCTGTTTCCTAGAGCTCTTGGATGGGAATATGCCCCATTTATTTCCAGGATGGAAGAAAAGATGCACACAGCAGCACTCTGCTTGAAATGGTTTCTTCACCACTACATGTGGACTATACACCACTTTTTGTAGGAAAAAACAAGACACATCCCAAAGACTCTTCTGCCTGTTGAAATATATATGGTATATCTTGTTTCCTATACAAAGCACCATGATGTCCCCATCCTGTAGTGAAACAAACAATATGTGGGAAGTCACTGACAGAGCTCACACTCTATAGAAGATATATAGGTCATATAGATCACAGAGGACCATATATCTAATGTCCTGCAACAATCCACTCACCACCTGTGCTATGGATAACGGGAATGAAAGAGAAATCCTTCATAGGTACTGCCATACAGGGCCAAGGCGGCCAAGGAACCACCGCTGACATCCGCCGATATCGGCGGATGTCAGCGGTGGTTCCTTGGCCGCCTTGGCCCTGTATGGCAGTACCTATGAAGGATTTCTCTTTCATTCCCGTTATCCATAGCACAGGTGGTGAGTGGATTGTTGCAGGACATTAGATATATGGTCCTCTGTGATCTATATGACCTATATATCTTCTATAGAGTGTGAGCTCTGTCAGTGACTTCCCACATATTGTTTGTTTCACTACAGGATGGGGACATCATGGTGCTTTGTATAGGAAACAAGATATACCATATATATTTCAACAGGCAGAAGAGTCTTTGGGATGTGTCTTGTTTTTTCCTACAAAAAGTGGTGTATAGTCCACATGTAGTGGTGAAGAAACCATTTCAAGCAGAGTGCTGCTGTGTGCATCTTTTCTTCCATCCTGGAAATAAATGGGGCATATTCCCATCCAAGAGCTCTAGGAAACAGCTATCTATATTACAGATGAATGGGCCCCAACCACTTGTGCCGGCACAGGAATGTATTGTACAATATATTTGACATTTATGTCTTCCTTCATACAGGTCTGAGGCCTGCTACTCTCCTTTTTGACGCATATTGTGCTTGCTCCATTGCATACATGTGATATATTTACAGCATAATTTTTTGGATTTCTTGATAGGGATTTGCCATTATGGTTACTGTTTAATCCCTTATATCCTCTATTATGGTATGCCCATGGCATAATTTTTGGATACACCTCCCTAGGGAAGTGTTCACCTGTGTGTTTGTGTTGCAGGGACACTAGACTCATGTAGCCATTTTCCCTGCTACACATACATTTAGACCGGTTTTTGTGTCATTTTAAATGGTTTTAGGTCTGTGTGTATTGTCTCATACTGAGGTGATGGTAAACCAGGGCAAATGCCCATATGTCATATTCATTTGTGTGTAATAAAGCATAATTTTTGGAAATTATTCCCTTAGTGTCACGTTCTGTTCATTATGTAGCCGCTTTTCTGTGAATCTCTTTTCACAACCCCCCTTTTTTGTATGCCTCTTTTGGCTACTGAATGGAGACCATACATTGGGTGACACGTTAATGTATTTAATAACCTCTTTAATAACTATCTTAGTATAATTCTGAGTGCAGCTCGGGGTTACTGCTTCTGGTACTGAAAGTTAACCCCGAGCTACACTCAGGAATACCACCAGGGAGGTTAAATCACATTGCTAATTGCATATTCTACTTGTTTGTAGCTTAAATACTGACATTTTTGCTTAAAACCGTAAATTTTTAAATGGCAGTAAAAACTTGGCTGTGCCAGTAAATTTTGTGTGTCGTGTCAGTGAATTTCATTCAGGTAGATTGGCAACACTGCATCAGAGCCACCCTACATTAATGTCTGTCAGAGTTCCCCTTACATTAGCATTCCCCTTTCCATCAAAGTCCCTGTTAGATCAGAGTCCATCTTTATAATAGAGCCCCCATCAGAATCCTAGCAGCCTGAGAAGACAATGATGGAAGTGATAATTGCATGGCAGGGGAACCTGTGTTGGAGACTTGGTGGGTAGAAGTAGATCTCTGCTGACCCGAAGTGTGACCTGTGTGAGAACACAGTGGGCCTACATTGAGGATACACCACTAACCTTAGCTGCAGGCCAGAGAAAATCTTCTAGTAGCCAGATTTGGCCAGCAGGTCATAGTTTGGAGACCCCTGGACTAGTGTGTCATGTAACCCTATTAATATGTAAAATGTTTGGACGTGTACAGCGAACCAGAAACTTCAAATATATAAATTAAAAAAATGAACATCTTAAGTAATTCCAACAGCAATATTATACTGCAAGTACCTCATCATTCCTTTGTTCCTTTTGTGGAGCTCTGTTTAATGCTGCGTCAGGACGTATTTCATGCCTTGACACTGGAGTATGCTTTCTAAACTGGTCGGCAGAAGATGGGCGCAGCCCCTAAAAGAAAAAAAGTCAAGAAAAATGTTATACTCTTTTGCAGATTTAATGCGTATTTTCATCTATATGATTGGTTTGCCAATTTTTTTTTGTTCCGTTAGCCTTTTGTAGTTATAATGTTAGAACCATGGCACCACCTGCCTGGAGTTTGCATGTTCTCCCTGTGCCTGCATGGGTTTCCTTTGGGTACTCCGGTTTCCTCCCACACTCCAAAGACATGCTGGTAGGTAAGTTAGACCCTGTCTAATTTGGCCCTAGTATGTGTATGTATGAATGTGAGTTAGGGACCTTAGATTGTACGCCCCTTGAGGGTTAGGGACTGATGTGGATGTACAATATATATGTCAAGCGCTGCGTACACTGACGGCGCTATATAAGTACCTGAAATAAATAAATATGATTAGTCAAGCTATGTGCTGTAGTACCAGACTTCACCAGAAGGTGATGTAATAACTATAAACTGCAGCTCTTAGATAAAACCCAGCAGCAGTAAGGCCCTTTTCACACACTTGGTCCAATCCGGTCTACCTGTCAGTTTTTCAGGACCTGAACAGGCCCTCCATTCAGCTCTATAGAGCGGCAGGTATGTGCGGACTTATGTAATATGTAAGAAGGATAAAATCTAACAAACTGTGATGCTAGTTATTGGGCAGCACATTTGCTAAATGGTTAGCACTTCCGCCTGGCAGTGCTAGGGTCAGTGGTTCGAATCCCAACCATGGCACCAACTGTCTGGAGTTTGCATGCTCTCCCTGTGCCTGCGTGGGTTTCCTCCCACACTCCAAAGACATGCTGGTAGGTGAATTGGCAGCTGTATAAATTGGCCCTAGTACATGTATGTATGAATGTGAGTTAGGGACCTTAGACTGTATGCCGCTTGAGGGTTAGGGACCAATGTGATTGTACAATATATATATATATATATATAATATATATATATATATATATATATATGTAAAGCGGTGCATAAATTAACGGCGCTATATAAGTACCTGTAATAATAATATTTAAAATATATAATTAACTCATCTAAAGACCTCTATACAGCAATATAGTTAATACAAGTGTACATGTTATATATACATAAGGGTATTTGCACACAGTGAAAGTGTATAAACATCAGATTCCTAGCAGATCATTTCTGTGTAAAAACCTGAGGATGGGTGTATAATATATGCACATATTCACGTGTTTTCACGCATGTGTGTACATGCCTGTAAGTCCTCTGGAACATTGGACTTTTTCCAGCTGCTGTTTTTGGCTTTTGACATTCTTGTCTACAGCCAGTAAACTTCCCAGCATGTTATCGTATGTGTCCATGCACACATTGACTGTAATCATTGGTTTTTGGCAGGGGCGTTTTTTGGCTGGGAAAAAACCCCCAGAACTAGTGGGTTTCTAAGAGTAGTATTTTTTGCTGTAAAAATGCTCTAAAGCTGAAAAACGCGTTAATTCGCACCAAACCAGCGTTTTTTTTTTTTTTCTGGATGTTTTTTGAGCAAAAAAAATGGTAAAAAGTGCAAATGCGTAAAAACGCAGCTAAACGGTAATGCAAAACGCTAAAAAAAACGCTGAAATACATATGTTTTAACATGACTTTACACAGCTAACGTTACCAGTGTTATTAAAACACCCAATGTTCATGGAGCCTTAAAATCCTTCTAGCTTTTCTTTGTTGCACTGTATATGCATACACCCATAAAATACTGTGCAGCAACAGAGATGATTTTTTTTTTTTTACTGATCTATACACAGTGCAAATTTACATGCCTGTGGTTCATGCTGTATAGGTTGCATTTAGATCAGTTATAAAAAAAGGCTTGAATGCCTAAAAACATTGCATTTTTAGCTGCAGGTAGTCTAATGATGTCATCCCTTGTCTTTAAATGTAGAACTATAGGCAAAACGTTTTTTTCATTTTGGATAGAGGAAAGCAGGGTTATAACCCCTGTCAGTTATTTTCTTTTTTTGCCATCTGTGTCCCATTTGGAAGATTTACCTTCACTTCCTGTCCCATAGCCAAAACAGGAAGTGAGAAAATCTCTGCAAATTAAGGGAACTCCTTGTGGACCCCTAGGTCTCAAGAACTAGTGTTCCCATTGGAAAATTTCCCCTCTATTACTTTTCTGGGGACAACCCAAAATTTGGGGATTTCTTTTACTTTCACTTTCATGATAACGGTAGACAGGACAAATAGAGAGGGTGAATCTCCCTAACAGTAGCACAGACAGCAATCAAAAAACCTAAAGCAGGCTATAGACAAGTCGAAATAAAAACGAATATTCTGTTGATCGAAACACAAAGATAGCTCATATGATTGTGCCATCTATTGTTTCGATTTTCTAAAAAGAAGCCAACATGTTGGATCAGGTGCTTTTGATTGCGGCATGAAAATCTCGTGTAGCAGCTGGCACACTAATGATGCAAAAAACAAATGATCTGACGATCGACACAAATTTTGTTTGTTTTTCGACTCGTCTATGGCCTGCATAATAAGTATTCTAATCCCTCTCCACTCTGTCTTTAACTACAAAACAAAATTTGTCTTTTGTTATACTTTAAAGTCCTTCCATAGCTTTCAGATTTCTGTCAATGCTTTGTGTGGACAAGTCTATGGGTCTTTCCGGGGTGGCCCCGCCCAACTGTCAAACCACTGGAGCAGGCAGAAGGCTGGAAGCTATCATCGGAAGCGGAGCCTTTTTTTAAAAAATTCTTATTTTGGGTCAGCGGCGGTGACAGCGGGCATTGTGATTGACGTTGGATCTACTGCGTGGGACATTCTTTTAGTTTTTTCTTTAAATAAAGGACTTGTCAAAGACCGTGTCCTGTCTTTTTTCACACTACACTTTTTGTTTTTTGTGAATGAGTAGGGGTACTATGTACCCCTACTCATTCACATGGGGGGGTCAGGATCTGGGGCCCCCTTGTTAAAGGGGGCTTCCAGATTCCGATAAGCCCCCTGCCCGCAGACCCCCACAACCACCGGCTAAGGTTGTGGGGAAGAGGCCCTTGTCCCCCTGCCCCAAAGCACCCCCGCATGTTGATGGCATGTGCCCTGGTATGGTTCAGGAGGGGAGGTTTCTCATTTGGTTGCTAAATTTCAGGTACAGAAAGCACAGAAAAATCAAATATTTTCAATGCTTATTTGTATTGTTTTTTTTATTTCTGCAAATTACTTACAATTCACTTGCAATGTACAACTTGTGTACAAATGTAGAACTTGCTAGACAATTTGAATACTCCTTATCACAGCCCGCTCCCTCCTTGCACATCATAACCCTCTCTCTTCTTTTGGGATTGTTTAATTACTATCTGTGCTGACCCAGCTCTACTGCCACCCTTTTCATCTCCCTACATAAGAGGCACAAAGGGGAATACTATAGAGCGTCACTTGATTGACAGCTCTAGGTCTGCCGTGAATATGGACATCACATTCAAGATGGTGGCGCTCAGCAGCAGTCTCAAGTTTTTTGGATGTCTACACATGGGAGGCTTTTACAGGTAAATAACATGCCTGAAATACATTAAAGTGGTTCTAAAGCCTCATGGTTTTCTACCTTAATGCATTCTCTGTATTATGGCAAAAAATACCTTCTGTTGCAGAGGATCACTCCCCTCCCCCAGCCCTCTTTATACTTATCTGAACCCAATCTTGATCCAGTATGCACGAGAGCAGTGGCTCTCCCAGCTTTGTCCCTCCTTACTGGGCAGACTGATAGCAGCAGGAACCATTGACTCCCGCTCCTCTGAATCAAATTTTATAACGAGGAGGCAGGGGCGGCCGAGCTCTACTGTCTGTGTTAATAGACACAGACAGAGAGGCTCAGGAGCGAGCCCACATATGTGTCACCATAGGAAGAGGATCCTATTGTGGCACACAGAGAAGAGGAGATGATGAGAGCACCGGCGGGGGACCCCTGAAGTGGAGGATCGGGGGTGCTGTGTGCAAAACCATCGCAAAGAGCAGTTAGGTCTAATATTTTGTTATTTTAAATAAAAAACATTGGAAGCTATAATATCACTTTAAATGCATGTATAATCATATGGGAATTTTTTTTTTTGCTGAAATAAAGGTTCTGGGTGCCTTGCAGCAATCTAAAAAGTGAGTGATACTGACTGGCATTTAGTGGAGCCTAGTTTTCATAGCTCAGCTTACCTGTAGGGACTTGTGTACTTTTCCCAGGAAAAAAAAATCTTTTAATTTCAATTTCTCTGTAATGCATAAAATAAACTCACCAGCTGCTTTTCAACCTTTATCTTAATCCTTTCTGCTTCCTGTTTTCTTTGTAAAAAATCATTCCTAGAAATTGAGAGGTGAGAAAGGATCATAAATTGGTAAGGTCTGCTGGCAATGTACAGTACATCCAGAAAGTATTCACAGCGCTTAACTTTTGCCACATTTTGTTATGTTACAGCCTTATTCCAAAATGGATTAAATTAATTTTTTTCCTCCACATTCTACAAACAATACCCCATAATGACAATGTGCAAGAAGTTTGTTTTGAAATTTTTGCATGCCTTTCCTAATCATGTCCAATCAACTGAATTTCCCACAGGTGGACTCCAATCAAGTTGATGAAACACCTCAAGGATGATCAGTGGGAACAGGATGCACCAGAGCTCAATTTTGATTGTCATGGCAAAGGCTGTGAATACTTATGTACAGGTGTTTTTTTTTCGGTTTTTATTTTTATTAAATTGCAAAAGATTTCAAAACAATCTTCTTTTACATTGACATTATGGGGTATTGTTTGTGGAATGTTGAGAAAAAAAATTAATTTAATCCATTTTGGAATAAGGCTGTAACATAAAATGTGACAAAAGTTAAGCGCTGTGAATACTTTCTAGATGCATTGTATGTGATGATTAAACTATAAAGCAAATGTCACATTAAAGAATAGTTTTGTTATATAGTATTACTGTACAATCAAGTCATGAAAAGCAGTACTGTATATTTGAAATTTATTTAGCCACAACTTATTTAAATTTTTTTTAAATGT